ATATGATTACAGCTTTTAAATTTTGTGCGCGAGCCATTTTTAGTTTGTTGGGAAAGACACACCCCCCTGGTTCACAGAATTTGAGTTCGAGAATTTTTTTCCATTATTTTACATTATAAGTACCCAAAGAAGCTATATATATATAAAAAACCAGATATATATATATATATATATATATATATATATATATATATATATATATATATATATATATATATATATATATATATATATATATATATATATATATATATCAAGGATACATATATCAAGGATACATCAGAGCTCATATAATAACTTTTTATTACGTTTCGGGGCAAGCCCTTTCGGGGCAAGGGGCTTGCCCCGAAACGTAATAAAAAGTTGTTATATGAGCACTGATGTATCCTTGATAGATTTATATAAATGTTGGGCTTTAGAGAAAGTTGGCTCAGTGATAGATTTGATCAAATCCTCCCCGGGCAAGGTATACCAAACCAAATTCTGTATCAGAAAAGAAGACAGCACTCATTCCATGAATGTACAAACCTTTCACTTTCGAAATATATTATTACAAAGAAAGATGGCATTGAATAGCCATTTTGGTTGTTGTGAAGGTCAAGAAAGAAATCCCTTCACTACTGTTGGCTGTGCAGGGTTTTCCTTTATCATTTTAACTACGTCACAAGGCAGACTTACTGAAAAGGTCTATTAACAGACCAATCATCATTAATAATGGGAGGGGGTCAGTGGGTGAGAAAAGGGGGGCGGGTGGCTTCAACTATTTTTTCCCGATTTGGTGGTGGCCTCAAACTGAACAATATGTGACAAGGGGGACCCCAATTTTTTAATCCTTTCCTACTAATTTTCAATCTCTAATGTCTTATCATATCCCACAAAATATTTCAGTTCACCATAGGAGTTGGAGTAAATAACAACCATTTTAAATACTGGCCCTCTAATTATTTAGGTTACACAATGTCTTACACCAGTACTTGTCCCATTACTTATTTTACACCAAAAATGTAACAGATTAAATGTTTGGGGGAGGGGGGGTCCTAAATTTTCTTGATGAAGTTTGGGATATCTTGAAAATCAAGGTCTTGCAATTGGGGTGGCTCTAAAAAATTTTCAATATTTGGTATTAATCACCCACCCACCGCCCATTATTAATGACCGGTCCCCTAAATTAAGCTTAATTTGAGCCTTGTTGTGCAACAATTATCCATGTGTATGTCTTCCATTCCGTGGCTTGAGTTCTTGTGTATAATAATAATAATAATAATAATAATAATAATAATAATAATAAACTTTATTTAAAGAAGGTGCAATTATACAAAAACCAGTTTAGCAACGCTAATCTTACACTGGGCCTTCTGTTCAACTGTTATAAAATGAACAACAGAAAGCTTTGGTGCAATATCTGACAATTTATAATTTTTGGTTATGTTTGTCCGAAAAAAATTTAAGCTTTGCTGATGTTAGTCCGGGAAATTTTTTTTTTAATGACACCCCTCCCTCCCTATCAACCCCTCCCTTCCCCTCCCTCCTCCCCTGTGACCCAAATGCCTTTGCAGCCCGCATTCAGGCTTTGCCTGCGCCAGGCTAACACGTGCAGTGCTTCCATTTTCAAGGAAATTTCCTTTTCTAAGGAAATTCTAGTGTCGAAAAGGAAAATCTAAGGAAGTGAAAAAATCTAAGGAAATCTAAGGATTTTTCCGAACAACTTAAATATTCATCCAATGGCATTAGTGCAGAAGAAAGTTTCACTATTTCTTGAATTTTTGAGTGAATTATCAATTATGTTTAATCAAAAATCTGTTTTTAACTTTTCCCTCGTGTTTCCGAAAACTTCCGAAAGTTTTTGAGCGATGGGATTTAGTAACTTTGGCGCCAAACGCTGTGAATAATTAATTTTTTATATCAATGGAAAGGTGTATGTTGTAAACTCATGACAAATATTTAATTTTAAACAGTATAATAGCCTGTGGTTTTTTAGCTAGCAATCATCTTTGTTAGTTGTGCTATTTTGTGCCTTTAAAATTGATTAAATCCTTTGTATTGCTACAAAAGCACTGCAAAGGTCTGCAAACCGCCTAATGAAATTTCAAGGAATTTTCAAGGAAATAACGTATACAATCTAAGGAATTTAGAGAAATTTTGATGACAAAAATGAGAAATTTTGATTTTGAAAATGGAAGCACTGGCTCCGAGCACTGAGCTATACTATATTACTGGAGGAAGTGCTCGGCAAAAAAAGTGTCCGCAAAAACATGGCGGATTTTCGCGCCATATGACGCCATTTCCATGACAACTGGTTCCTCCGGCTCATAAAATTACCACTGACCAGGCTCAATTCTGAGCCCGCTACAATTTTCACACCCCCCTGGTTTTATCAAAAATATTTTTGCTTTTCGAGGTTTTTGCAGTAAATTCTTTGTTTTTTAATATTTTTTCGACTTTTGACCATTTGTTAAAAGATTTAAAAGTCGTACACGCTATTCTCACCCGCGAAAGACAAAAAACCGATATGAAAACCCCGAAAAATTTAGGCAAAGACGATATTTCATGGCAGTCGGCAGAGCTCACAGGTAAATATTTCACATACTATTGATATGTTTTTATTTTTAATTTTTAAAAGATAATGGGAGTAAATGATATCCATAAAGTAAATGAAATCCATTAGATAACAGGCTCTTTGTATAGTATAACGTATTATTTTCCCCCATGTGTTCAAAGTCTTGTCGTAAAAAAATACAGAAACTTTGTTTTTATATTCAAATTAAGTTTTTTTGTTGTTTTTTTCTTACTTTACAAGCTTTGTTAAATATTTGTTGTTAAACAAATTTTGTTTTATTTAATTCAGTTAAATCAGTTTTTTCCCTCAAATCCTTTGGGTTTTCTATATAGACTGATGACTGAAATCTGACATGCTTGATTTTATGCAATTGTATGTGCTAAATGAGTGTATGTACAGGTGTAAAGGCATGAAACAATGTGCTTCTATCTATATTCTTTGTGTTTATATATACTAGAGTCTGTGGTTATTATAGTATGCATAATCTAGGGTGCCAGTAGAAGGTAGCCAGATTAGCTCAGGATACTGTGGGCAACTTATCTGGTAATATGATTTCTACCTAGATTTCTGACTAATGACATGTTGAATTGAGGATTCTTGAGCCACTAGAAATAGGATTGTACTTAATTCTTGAATGTTGGGTACCAATCACAAGTGTAGGTATAAGCAAAGTATCTAGATTATAGGGTTGCACTGGATCTCATTATACAGGCCAGAACTGAGAAAGTCACACATGCTAGTCAGACATCAAGTCAGAAACAATTTAATTGGTAGATAATGTCACTTCCAGTCCATGCAGGTGGATTTATTTGGGGTTTTGTTCATTTCAGTCCTCTCTCTGTGCACCCCTGTATCAGATGCAATTACCTGAAACTATAAAGAAATCAATGAACTTCAACATTTCAAGTGAAAGACCTTTAGTATTATTTTTCAGGTAGTTGCATGATACATTCAAGCCTTTAAATAGTGTGGTGGCTTAAGCTGCTTTTCTCATTCCCTTTCTTCACTTTCTTACTCTTTTGTCTCTTAGTGAAAACTTTATTTTACAACATTTTAATTATATAATCTCTTTTTGGTCTAATTGCAGAATTATTTGATGGTGAGACAGTTCATAGTTCAACCTCTTTATTAAAGAATTATCAATTATTAGAAATAATTAATTTTGTTAGCAGTGATAAAGCTATCCAGACAAGTTATTATTGTGACTTTGTAGCCAGATGGGTATGATTTTGCTTTGGCTGTTCAGCATTTTGATCCATTGTGATATGGCTTGTGGTACCTGTGAATGATTTTACCTGCAAAATGAATGACAGAATATCAGAATGTAACATTACATTAAGATACATCCTACATTGCAATTATATAATTATGTAGTAGATGCATGTTCAGTGTGAAGAATATGGTCTTTGACACTCTTTGTATATAATAAACATGCTATTGTGTAATGGAAATGATCAAATAAAGTTATTTCTGCAACAGCCCTTGCATTCAAACACCTTATTTGTATTTTTCTTGTTCATGCTTGAGCATCAGCCTCAGGATAAGCAAATTCCATTGGATTTGTGAGGGCACTTGAACTATATATTGGGTCATTACATGAATAACAGAAAAGATTCAGACTCCCACAGCCTGTACTACAAGTTACAGCTGTGACAGTGTAGAGGGGGGATCCACAAGTAAAATGTGCTGGAATATCCAAGGGGGGGGGGGGTGATACAAATAAAAAAATGATGTTTAATATGACTTAAAATTATTAAGCAATTGAGTGCACCAGCACTTTCCCCTTGACAAGTAAAATTATCTGGTGTTGGACTGAGTAAGATAACAAAGTAGGGCATAGTGATCCTTAATTAATCACTTATAATAAAGGTTTAAATGCTGAATTTTTTTAACGTGCCAGAGTGGCAACTGGCAGGGTACTGAAAAGGTAGGTTGTGCACATGCATCCTAAATAAATACTGCTACAAAAACCTGGTATTTAACAGTTAAAACCAATCCCGAATTTCATTATTTTAAAGTAATATAAAATAAAACAAGTCGGGAAAAGGATTTTGAACCCAAGATATGAGACAAAATTTAATTTACAGTATGAGAATGAGTTTGAATATAAAGAACAACAAAAAAGAGGATACAAAACTACTGTGATATTGTTGAAATTAGCAATATTATACATTTGCTGTTTATAACGGTAGTTTTTGACATAATGTATTTACGCTTTTCCATCGAAATGGCAAGTTTAATAAATTTGCCCGAAGCAGCCCAAGCTTTGGCAAGCTAGAACTTAAAAAAAGTAAAAGAAATAAAACTTTTGTGAATCTTACGTACCTGAAAACAAGAAATATAATAATCCTTTCGAGTGATTTGTTCATCTACAAGCAGATTAAAAACTTAAAACTAACACACTTTTTTCTCGACTGCAAAAATATCAAAATGTTCAGTCGAAACTCGAAAATTATGATCAAAATTTTTGCAAAAACCAGGGGGGTGAAGGATTTTACTTCAAGCGTAGGATCGCGGTTGGTCAGTGGTAATTGCCATGAGCCGGAGGAACCAATCACTGAGCTATACCACAGATGAGGTAAGTACAGATGTGAATCTCCTGTGAAATTGCTGATTGTTTTGTGTCACACGGAATTCTCACTTCCGGCGAGCGCTGGCAAGTGTCGTTCTGAAATTTAATAAGGAAAGAGATAGGAAAACGCCGTTCGAAAGACGAAAAATTGTTTTTTTTAAAAGTCTACGCTACCGACGGCTATTTTTGGAATTAATTCTTCAAGAGTAACGGTAAGCGATCACTTTTATTGATTTCTTTTTATTAAAAATGTTAATATAACATTTTATTTAGCAAAAGTTTGTTTTTTTCCCTATCTACTTCTTATTAAAATCGTGAAATACACTTGCTGGGAATTTCAGATGCTCGTGCATAAATAACAAAACAGCGAATGATATAAATGCCTCAAAACATAACTCTCGCATAAAAAAACATGAATACTTCTATAATATGTATAGTTTTATTCCTCTGCATTATCAAAATTTAATAAAATAGTGAATTAATACAATTTTAAAGTTTATTTAATCCGTGTGACACATTTTCACAGGAGATTCACATCTGTATTACCTCATCTGTGGCTATACTATATTACTGGAGGACCTGCTCGGGATAAAAAAGTGTCGCCAAAAACATGGCGGATCTGACGCCATTGCCATGACTACTGGTCCCTAAATTCATGGCAACTACCACTGTCCCAACCGCGATCCTAAGCTTTCGACGATGTACTTCACCCCCCTGGTTTGAGCCTAAAAATTTGTTTTTGAGAAGAAAATCTCACTGAAAATCGTGATATTTTTCTTCCAATTTGCTTGATTTACAACGGATACTGCATTTTTACGCCGCTCGTATGTGTGAGAATTCTCCAAACAAGAACGAGAAGAATATATTTTTATTCACCGGTAAGATTTTATACAGTTATTTGAATATTTCTAGATTCTAGCTTGCTGTGTCTGCTTGCTTTTATATTAAACTCGATAGAAAAAAATTTAAGAAATGTACGAAGCACAAACCATAGGGAAATGGTGGGGAATCCTGTAAATTTTATTGATTTTAATACCACTAGTCTCTGTTTTCATAGCCATAGGGTTTTAAAACCTGCTTATAGTGTCAAAATCCTCACTGTGCACTTACTGTATATTTATTTTATAGCACTACAGGCTTTTATAGTATTATAGAGATATAAACAAATTTTCCCTGACAAACTTTGAGTGATATATATAGCCTTGCCAGCGGTTCTTGTAGCAGTTATATATAATGACTGTGTATACTGTAGTTATATTATTTATCACTTCTACAACAGGCAGGTGAAAATTAAATTGTTTTGCTGAATATGCTGGGCCAATTAAAGGCCATTAAAGATATCAAGTTCAAACCATTCAAATGATTCAATACCCATTGCAATCAAGCAATGACCATAAACCTAAGCCCCAATGACAGACCCCAAATATAAGCCCTCCTGTGTAGAAATGCACCACAAGGGTGCATCGGGGTGCAATGCAACTCAATGGGTTAACTATAGGCACATGCGCAGATAGGCCAGTTAACCCATTAAGCACCAGCGCTCTCCCCTTGACGAGTAAAATCGTCTGGCATTAGACAGAGTAAAATATCAAAGTAGGGTGCATCAGGGTGCAATGCAACTCAATGGGTTAAATCCCTCTGTGTGAGCCCATAAACTTATTTTTGGACAGGTATTTTTTAATGCAGCGAAGGGGTTCCAACAGCTCAGCCCATCAAAAATGCTATTGAATGAATATAAGCATTGGGTCGTTCCAGAAAAGATCCACACTCCCCACACAGAGGAAATTTCTGCCGTCCGGAGGGGGAGGGGAGAATAAATTGTTTCTGATAATTGTAAATGTATTAGGACATCCGAAGGGGGTAGGGGAGTTAACTTCCAATTTCCTCTGTGGGGGTGGTATGGATGTTTTCTGGAATAACCCATTCAGAGGTTTACATATGGTATTCATCTGCCCAACATAGTATGTCAGAGTTATATACATTCCACAGCCATTAGAGTTGTAGACTTGTAGTTAGGTATTTGTAGGAATGAAGGGTGTCTACGTGCCAGTCAATGCATATTCGCTGCCATTGGCATTGACCAAAATTGTGCCCTGACAATTAACCAATCAA